AGTGGTGAGCAAAGAAACACTCAGGATGTAATAGTGCTAAAAAAGCCTTTGTGCAATTTTATTCAGACTTATTGCTTTTCTGTCTTTAATATGCTTTCTGTTCTTGACAGATGAATGGAGAGCCCGAGGAAGAGAACCTCAACAAATCAGAAATCAGTCAAGTGTTTGAAATTGCACTTAAACGCAATTTGCCTGTCAACTTTGAGGTGATTTTTACATTTCTTTTTATAAATGTTAAACCAGTTCAGCGATGTGTAGACAACATGTACGACTTGGCCAAGTTTCTTATCCAGTTTAATAATAGAAAATGAATGCTCCTCCTCATGATTTATCACTTTTGTTCTCCAGGTTTTAAAGGAAGAAGGCCCTCCTCACATGAAGAGTTTTGTAGTGTGTGTTACAGTCGGGGAATTCACAGGAGAGGGCGAGGGAAAGAGTAAAAAGATTGCCAAGAAGCTGGCAGCAGCAGCGGTGCTAGGGGAGTTGAAGAAGCTACCCCATATACCCAGTGTGGAAAAGACGCTGCCACGCATCAAAAAGAAAACCAAATCCATCATCAAGGTAATGTAACCAATGAACTGGAATAAGCATCATCAGACCTAAAGACTCTACATTAAGTGATGATTAACCTATCACACCAACAGCTGCAGACCAGCCCGGAATATGGTCAGGGGATGAATCCCATCAGCCGCCTGGCCCAGATCCAGCAGGCCAAGAAGGAGAAAGAACCAGAGTACAACATGGTGACAGAGAGAGGTCTACCTCGGCGCAGGGAGTTTGTCATGCAGGTGATTTGACAGCAACTGAAGCATGCCGGTAGCAGAACATCTGTCTCTGTCTCCTCGACCTTTGCTTGTTAATTTCTCACGCGTTCAGTTCTTTGATGCATGTTTTCTGGTACAGGTGACGGTGTGTGGCCAGTATGCAGAGGGAATGGGACCTAGTAAGAAGGTGGCCAAGAGGAACGCAGCAGAGAAAATGCTGGAGCTCTTGGGATATAAAGTGCCTCAGCCTCAGCCCCCTAAACCGGCACTCAAAACTGATGAAAAGGTACTGCTACACCGTTATCAAGCAAATCTTGTAAACACAGCTGACAAAGAACCTTAATTTCTTCATGTACATATTGTTTTGTAATATTTAGACACCAGTGAAAAAACCTGGTGATGGGCGTAAAGTGACCTTCTTTGAACCTGGATCTGTAGAGGATGTGGCATTGGGTGAGTGTCAGTAGAAATACTTGACTGGTGTATTTGGCAGTGCTTATATTGTATTATTTCTTACATTCTTTCTGTTGTGCTTACATGTCCTTTACAAATGTGCTTTTCCTTTTGAAGGTTCCAAGGATGAGGACTTCCGCCTGCCTTACCTGAGCCACCAGCAGCTGCCTGCAGGTATCCTGCCCATGGTCCCTGAGGTGGCTCAAGCAGTGGGGGCCTGCCAAGGATCCCAGGCCAAGGACTACAATCGAGTTATGCCCAACCCAGGAAAGGCCACAATCACTGCCATGATTGCCAACGAGCTGCTTTACGCGGGGACATCCCTGACTGCTGAAACTATCCTAAAGAACAAAAATAACATGAACCAACTTCCCCACGGACCTCTCACCAGGCCTTCAGAACAGCTTAGCTACCTTGCATCTGTGCAGGGCCTACAGGTAATGTGACATTATGTTCTGCTTTGGTGAACTCAGTAAGGCCATTAGTGTGCATGCATTTGACTTTGACTGAAATTGGTACAAATTAATTGAAATATTTTTATTTGCTGACAGGTGGAATACAAAGATTTTCCTAAAAACAATAAGAATGAGTTTGTGTCACTGATTAACTGCTCCGCCCAGCCACCACTCATCAGTCATGGGATTGGGAAAGATGTAGAATCCTGTCATGATATGGTGAGTTTTAAAAAAAAAAAAAAAAAAACATTATCCCTACAGTTTACTCCTTAACAGCCTTATGTCTAGAATGTATCTGTCAAAACGTTCAATGCGAGGAATCTCATTGTGTGCGAGCTACATAAGCTATGAGAGAACACCGTTGCAGCCAAAAACTCACCACAAATTAGAAATGTGGGAGTATTGGGATGCCTCAGAAAGGGCCAGGCACTCGTTGATAAAGGGAAATTAAGGATAGCAAGTGTCTATCAGTGGATCAAACACATGTAAGCTTCTACACTCCCAGCATGTTGCAGGTTACTAACAAAGTTGAAACATGTTTAGCTTGGTGACAAGGTGTTTAAGGATGAGTCTGGCAGTCTGGTTGCTGATTACAACCCCCTTGCCTCACCCTCCCATTCCAAGCCTATAGGAGAAACTACAGTGGCTGCAAAAGGCTGACATGTGATGTCCTAACACCGTTACAAAGATGCAACAAAAGGCCAGTTGTTCCCTAAATGAGAGTTGTACGTTGGCTGCTTTCTGGACACCCATTGCATTTTTAAGCTACCAAGACAATGAGGCTTTATTTTGCTTAGTTGTACTAAATTGAGTATCAGTTGCCTCTTACAAATGGTCACTGCAGTAACTACTGTACTATACTGGTCTTCACCTCTACAGGCTGCACTGAATATATTGAAGTTGCTGTCAGATTTGGACCAGCAGTCAAATGAAAGGACAGGAAATGGACCAGTCTCTCGGTAAGCTATGACACGCACTGTCTCTGTGCTTACTTATAGCTGCATTTACATTAAGCCTTTCATTCTATTATAGTAAAAATTAGTAATTACTTAGTGATGCTTTATGTAAACACCTCAGTCAGCATACAATGGCTTTTGTTGTTTGTCGTTTAGCAGTGCTCTCTATCTATTTTGTTAATAAATTTTTGGAACGTAAACAGAAGGCTCAGTGCTCAGCACTGCAGTAAGCTAGTGACCGTTTCAAGTAGGGCAGGACCTTAAACATCTCCAATTTTTTCACACCACACCTGATATTGGATTTTAATCAATAATTGTATGTTTTTTTGTTTTTTTTAAACAAACACCATAAGAACAACATAAGAAAAAAGACACCATATCTTTGCAGATGTTAAATGCCACCGCATCTGTAATATGTTATCATTGGGACCCCATCTTCTCATATGGGATACTATGTGGAAAATGATTCTACACATTCTTTGTAGATAAGTGACTTGAGTAGATTGGGATTGTTTTACAGTGTCCTTAGCAGCTGTATAACAGCATTATATAACATTATAACATTGGTAGTTTAAATCTTGATTTTATGATTCAGCTGTTGTTTTTTTCCGTTTTAAATAAAAATGAACCAATTTGATGTAAATACTCCCATGGGATTGGTAAATTAAATTGAATACATTCAGATTGACGTAAACGCAGCCATCAAAGGAATATTTTGGAGCTGATTAAATGTCGACAGTGACACTGTATGTGACTTATTTTCCACAGGTGTGGCAAGCAGGACATCGAAAGTGACTTGCACCTCAAACAGGCTAACTCAAGCACATTGGCACAGACCCTGGATGGCACTGTTTAGACGATCAGGTTTGGTTGTCTGTAAAAGCACTAGAGAAAACTCTGACACTGTGTTCCTAGTCAGTTTTAGAAGGCTACAGGAAGCTTTGGGCTACTGTAGGCCCCAACCCATCACTGTTCATATTCATTGTTCCAAAATGTTCACAGTTAAACAAGATTGATAGGAAAAAATAGTTTCTTCCCCTTGATGTTGTTTAATTGTACACATTATTTATTTTGTTGCATTGTAGAAAAAGTAGCTGCATCCTAGTCAATGAGTTGGGGGTTTACTTGGTGAAAAAAAAGATGAAGCGATTTAACTGTGAACTGTGTTTTGTTTTGCCTTAGAACCTGTTTCCTCTCTGTGAGACCTTTTTGTTTTTAAGTCTTTTACGTTTTATGCCCCCGCTGATGTAGTTCCTAAAACTAGATCTTGTAAAGGTTGGAACCTCATCTTTGTCTAGGGTGCAGCTGGCGAACCTCTGTTGATTTTCCTAGAGTGCTTTAACCAGTGTTATCGACATTACCATGTAGGGCTGGGAAGAATTTCTGACTTAATGTAGCGTGTGATGTAATGTGACGTGTCTGCTGTGTGTGGCAGGGACGTTTCCCTGTTGCGTCAGTTTCCCTGATACTCCCTTCTTCCTCCCTTGTGTCCACCTTCTTTTCTCTCTCCGCTCCCCATGGTAATTAAACTTAACGTGCTTACCAGCACAAAACAAAGACTTGTGTCATCTTGTCTTTTTCTTTACCTGTCGGTAGCAGAATATATAACTAAAAATGTTCATGTTAGTTAGGGCTGTGCAGTAAGAATTTATTTTATACATAGATTTCTGATTAGGACAGTTTGACAGTATTGATTGGACTGAATCGTTATGATGATTTAAAATGTTGTTTTATATACATTTGCCATAGATACTGCTCAAACACCGCATAGCTCTAGGGTCCAATGCAGGCTTGAGTATCGTTTTAAATTTGATCAATTCTGATAGTGATTATGCTTATCTAGTCCAGGCTCTGATACCGAAAATAAATTGAAATGTTGAAGATAAAAAGCATAAAAGCCAAAATCTATAAAATGTAAATAATCTCGATCTTTTAATGCAGATGTTTGTTGTTTTCATGTTTATTTGAGTCCCCAAACAACTGCTCATTCTGGGACATTATGAGTACAACTGGAAACATTTTAAACAGTACATTCTTATGCCTTATCATTAGTCCTACTTGTACTCTTGAATGAAAATATTTTTGGGCTGTGATTACATTTTACTGTATCTCTGCTGTTTTTTCAGAGTAGCCACACAAGTGCAGGAAGAAAGTGCAGTAGGTCCAAAATTTATAACTAAAAATGTATTTTCTGAGGAATTAGTGACTGAAAAGGAAAAGAATGTTGCTTAAAGAATCCATTGTAATTATACATTTGAATTACTTTCCAATCCAGAACCCGTTTTAAGACCAAACCCTGCTTAGTGCTCGTATCATGCTAATTTCATGTATTGTGAAGTTTATAAGAACACAATGCAGCACACAGATCGCTGTTTAGTGGTTTTCAATCATTTTATTTGATGTAAACATAATACAGCGCAATATTCTGGTACATTGTTAGGTTACACATTAAAGACACCCCAAATCCCCTTATTGTCAGTTCAGGACTCAATCACTCTGCAGTATTTTGTCATTTTAAAGGTTTATGGTGAAAACAGTTTGAAGGGACTTTAAACTTCATCTGAACATTACTGAAATGTTTTTGGGGTGCTGATGACCACTTGGCTGAGTCGTCATCTAGTAAACACTTCTGAATGATCAGTCTTAAATCTAAAGCCCCTCCCCCACTCCATTTTGCTTCTGCATTACTTCTGATGATCCACTTGTTATCCTAAATCCTGGCCATAGCTGGGCAGTTCGGCCCACTGCTGTCCACACAAGCAGAAGGATTTTTTTTTCATCATATGATAAACCAATTTACAATTTACAATTTATTTTAATTTTCAAGTTTTGACTCCCAAAGCTGTCTTAACTGCACTTAGCTAGGATTATGCAACCTGAACGGAGCCATTAGTCGGTTGTTTGTTCATGCTGTCAATGAAGGGGTACATGCACTTGTCGGACCCCATGAACCGGTATGTAACCACATTGGATTCCCACGGCAACAGTCTGAAAGAGAACGTGCAGTAGAGCTTAAAACACTGAACACTGGCTTAACCAACACAAGAGCACACATGAAGAAATGCTAAAGAAGAAAAAACAGCCTTTTTAGAGGAAATACATTTATTTTTGTTAATAATGTACCTACAGTGTTTAGAAATAATGGTATTATCCACACTGATATTCTGCAGAACCTTTAAATAATGATAATGAAAAACCACAATGAACAAAGCCAAAGCACTTGTTTTTATTGTACTAGAGTCAATCCAAAGACCATAAGCTGGTTAGCTAAATTAACTATGCAGTGGGCTAGTGTTTAACCTGTTTAGTCCCTGACCCTATAAGTACTCTGATGTACTCCTTAAATGACTGGCGAGTCCCTCATTATTCCAAGATGTGAGCTTTGTATCCCAAAACTAACATTGCTGTACCACAGAATTGGTGGAGAACAGCTTATTTTTTATATGTTCTTTAATAAGTGTTGACAGATTTTCCAAAAAGCCTCTTTTCCTTACCTCTCTGTACCCCTGCTGATATGCATAACTGTGAAATGCGTTGCGTTGCACCACAATTATTTTATTTTTTCTGCAGAATATCACTGTTGTTAACACGACTGACCCTGATCATTTTCCCCAAACTTAACTTTTTAAGTTTTTTTTTTTTTTTTTAACTTTTTCCAGTACTGTAGTATTTACAAAAAGTATTTCTGCTTTACTCTAAAATTTCCAACTTTTATTCCCTTGTACCCCACAGTCTAGTTGTCTTCCACGGTATCCACATTAAAGTACCAGTAAGAACCACAAGGTATTTTATTGGTACCTTATTCACACAGTGAAATTACACAGTACATTGTAGGTTGTACTATCACCAAAATAAATTTTTTGGTTAATAGGAAGAAGTGGCTTTGTACTTACGCTCTGGAGAGAAAAGGCAGGTAGGTGAGGCGAGGGATGCACACTAACGGTTGGTCTATCAGGATGGCGTTCATGGCCTGCTCAACACAGTACTGGGGCTCCAGAGGTGGCAGGAGCAGTTCCACTTCCTCCCTATTAGACACAAAAAGACAAATGTGCTGTCACTTACGAGTTAGTATGCAGCGTTTTGACAGCCACTCTAACAGCATGGGTACCCAACTCAACATACCCACATTCACATGCTGCACTTTGGTTGTACAGTGGTAGAAAGGGTAATAGAAGTAGTTTAACATATTTCAGCATTTCTGGGCAATTACTGCGAGAAACCTTTTATGAGAAAATACATTATTCTCCTGAAGCTAGTGGAACAAAGGCAAGCCAGGAACTAGAGGAAGGACCGGGGTTCACTGTAGGATGAAGGAACACACAAATTGCCATGGGGCTAGTTTTTATAAATGCAAAAACTTCACTTGTATTTTAAAGCAAATGTAACAGCGGAGTGATGGATGTTTCAGTGTGTTTTTCAGATTTCTGAATATATTCTTGGTTGGGTCTAAATCACTGTTCAAATGGCAGGAATGACAGGATGTGAGTAATTAAATGACATACCGTATCTTGCAGCCTGCAAACATGCCTGTGTCCACGATATAGGGACACACAAGAGTCGTCTTCACTCCTTCAACCTCCTCGGCCAGCAGCTCATGGGCCAGAGACTCGTGGAATCCCACTGCAGCAAACTTACTGGCGCAGTAATCCTGTCTCAAACGAAAATCCAGAATCCATTACTGCGTCTGCACAAGTATTTAATATTTACAGAGCTTAAACTGCTGTTTTTGTGATATGTAAATTTGTTGTCATTTGTCGACATAAGCAGAGGACTGTGTGAGAGACTGTGACAATAAAGGTGTTATATCTTGTGACAGTGATGTTCCTCCCTCCCTGGTTCACCTCGACACAAGCTGTGCTGAAGAGGCCGAGGACGCTGGCGATGGTCACGATGTGTCCATGATTCTGTGCTTTCATCTGAGGGAGGAAGGCCTTCACTGTCTGAAGCACACATACACATGCATTATTAAACGTGCATTATTATGAGGCAACAAACTGTGCAGTGCTCATATGGCTTGTGGTGACTTAAATGTTGCTCAGTCTTAAGGAAGCTTATGTTGCACGAGCAGCTTCATATTAAGAGGATTTATTCTATACAGCCCATAGTGTTGAAGGGGATAAAGATTTTAACAGAATACATTTTTCATGCCATGCGTCACACTATGCACAATAAGCTGCTCGGTATAGCAGCTGATGCTGAAAAGATTATACACTGTTCAATTCAAAAGCTTCATTTACTGCATTCCAAATTTTAGGCAGTGCTGAGTCATTGTCAGTGTTTGACTTGAAGTGTGTCACCTCCAAAACATCAGATTTGATTTGAAAAAAAGTTAAGTAGAGTTAGGGAACCAATTGGAAAAGGTGGCACACCATCAAAGTGGCTAATGTCTGTGTGGTTTAAGGTTAAATAAAAATCTCATTACATATGTGTACAGAGTAGGCCTAATGTTTAACACTGAAGTCACTTACTGTATATACAAGACAAAAACTGAATGCTTGTTTGTCATTGTCTTGACCGTTTTGATGTTGACACCTGATTTCAATTTGAAAGTTTTTCTAATGTTGACCTTTACTGGCACACTTTATGGGATATTTAAGTTCAGCGTACGACGAAAAAGCAACTTCTGGTCTTCTGGTGGAGTTCTGGTCAATAATTGATTGTCATTTACAACAAGAGTTACTAATCAGGGCTTATAAACATGTTTTTTTCGGTGACATTATTAGATAAGCAGCGATTGCTTTGGATGAACAGGTTAATCAGACAGTATAAGACAGTTACCAGCGACGGATCTAGAGAAATATTGATGAGGTGGTATGGAAATGTGGTGGCAGAAATATATGCTTATTTAATTGCAAACAATAACATATTAATATTTGCTTGGAAAAGTCCCCAAATAAAGATATTTGAACTAAAAAAATATTACATTATTCTGACATATAAATTAAATATCTAAAGGTGACATTAGAAATCAATAAATAGTTTTATTTCCAAATTTTCATACATCTTCCAAAAATGTGTCTTTTTCATTGAGCTTAAGCTTATCATAGTCTTAAATGTGGCCTTAACAGATCATTAAATTATGTGTTAATTTAAGTTTTTTAAGAAAATAATGGAAAAAGAATAAGTATTTGACAGAAACAGCAGGGGTAGCCAGGCCACCCCATACCACACCTCTAGATCCTCTCTAGTTACAGTTACATTTAAGAGGTTTTATCCAAAGTATCTGTTCTGAGTTGAACTGAACATCACTCATCACATGAGTCTGTGATGCACTGACATCTGTATCTATACCTGTCCTCCAGGTAGGATATTTAGCGCTATAATAAATCACAGGCAGCTGGACTTCCTGTCTGGTCTTAAGGATGTTCCACTGCTCATCTAAGAGGTTTCAACACATTTAATATTGACTAAAGAGTTTTCTCACCCAGAAGAGGGCAAGGCAGTTGACCTTCATTGTCCTCTCAATTAGCTCATCAGGACAGTCTAACATGCGCTTCCCAGCAACCACTCCTGCATTGTTCACTAGCATTGTAACGTCCCGGCCCAGGTCCTTTCGCACAATGTCTGCATTGTGATACACATCCTCCCTGTTGGTCACATCCACCGTGTAGGTGTACGCCTTTCCCCCCATCTCACGCACCAGCTTGGCTGTCTGCTCATTGGAACTGGTGTTGATGTCCCACAGCACCACTTCTGCCCCATGCATGGTGAATTCCTGAGCGAAGAGACGACCCAGGCCACCACCCGCCCCGGTGATCAGCACCAGTTCGCCATCGATGGGCTTAGTGCGTGGGCGCAGGACAACCCGCACAGAACTGCGCAGGATGAAGTAAATCAAATCTAGAAGCATCATCTGGAAGTCCATTAGAAAAATCATGTTGATCTACTTTACTGCTTAAGATCCTGATTGTCAGAACAAGTGTCTCAGTAGACCTGCAGTGGATTAGACTTCACACTCGTTACCGGTGAAGGTGTGTTTCCAACTGCCCAACTAAGTGTGAGTGCAAGGATGCAGACAGCCAAGCTGGTGTTTTCCTCCTTCTGTGGCCCTCAGCGTCCGTCCACGGTTCATTTAAACACTCTCCTCCTGGATTAGTGGAAAATACCTTGAGCTCCTAATAAAACCACTTTTGTTGCAAGCTGGGAATGTATGCATTTTCACCGTGGCTGAGGAAAATAACATGTGCCGGACAGCATTACACTGAGTTAAAGATTCCTGCAGTTTTAAGGTCTTTGTGGGACATTACTCAAAGTTCACAGCTTTCAAATACCTTACACGTGAAACTCACACGGCACATACGACATAGGCCGCCTCTAAATACTATTCTTATATAAAATAACATGCACCTTTATGTCAGAATAAATGTAAAATATCTGAGTCATATGTGTAAAAACTCATTTTAAAAGGCTTTTCAATAGAAACAGAAGGCAGAATAAGGGGACGTGAGGAGGAATAATACTGTACGAGTTTAATCACCATGACTGACTTGAAACTGGACAAATTGGTTACTTTTCACCCTTTGTTTCTATAACTTTAAGGTACCATAAATATCTCTAAAAAGAATTATATCAGAATTATATCAGTGGCTTTTACAGCAGTATATTCCTAATGTGAAACAAGGAGGACTATATATCAATGAATTCCAGCATCGGCTGAACTACCAATGAACAAAATTAATGAGTGTTTTTCATATTTTTAAGTAATACAGAAGCAAGAGTGTGAGAATGAAAAGCTGTTAATTAAGTACAATCTCTAAATACTCCCACATACATCTTGTACATGCCCATAAGGACAGCACAGTGGCTCAGAGGTTAGCACTGCTGCCTCACAGCACAGTTGAGCAGTAAGATACAGTTAACATTTTTGGTTCAGAGTTTGGTGAAGGGACATCATTCAAGGACAAGCTCGGCCCTAGTTCTCTGCCCTGTAGAGCAATCAGAGTCATACTGAATGAGAACAAGGAGATTATGCATGAGTGAACTGCAAATCTCTGCATTGTTACTTATGTCCCAAGAAGGTGGCTTGTGTCTGTATCACGTTCTTGTTTTCCAGGTGAACACTGCAGGCCTTGTTTAGTCATGGTTGGCATGTGAGCCAACACGAGTTTTTGCTGACAACAACCTTTTGACCTGGTGGAGCTTTGTATCTCACAACAATATGATATAATATATGCAGAAATATATTTACAGAAATGGGTCAAGACTGTGAGAAGGAAGTTAGTTTAAATACTGCCAAGAATGTTTGCCCTACTGTGAGTTGTTGAGCAACACACAGTAGGGCAAATAGCAGCAAAGATCCCATCAAAGTGAGTGCCTTGAATCTTGTAATACCTGAATATTGGCATGCACATAAAGTGAGCTGTGTCTGATTGTTTGCCAGACAGTTTCCCTGTTTGATATCCCATAAAAAATATACATTGTTGACTGCAGTGTGTCAACCCTGGGCTATTTCTGTTTTGTGAGTTTACTGAAAACACAAGATTTCAACCTGCTGATGCTTCCAAATGGACATTCTTTCACCTCTTTGGATTTCCAAAAATATGATTTGGTTGTGACATCGGCTTCAGAAATTAAGACTATTATTAATTTGAAAAGAAAATCAGAAGGTTTTCCTGATTAAAATCAATAAGGTAATAAATATATGAGAAAAACAGTGGGTGTAAGTGGTGTCAATATGGACTGCGGCTATATCCAATGAGTGCTTACTGCCAGTTTACAGGAGCAGTAAATGGACAAGGTCCCTGTCTCTGCAAGCCACACAGTTGTGTAGAGGGGGCCAAAAGATAGGGGGTCATAGGGAAAAGGAACCACAACTGTAACACACTAATACTTTGCAGTTCTTAGACTTGAGCTTGTGGTGTTTTGAGCACTATAATCAGTCATCACCCAATTTCCCCTTCCCCCAACACACACAGAAGGCTGCTGGGAATCTTAGAGTGGAGGCCTGCACTGTCCACAATGTTGTTCTTTTTGCATGAATAACCTCGGCCATAGGAGTTTCATTAATCCACCCTTTTCACATGTTGAGGCACACATGGGCCTGGGAAGCTGGCTGCTTCACCAACAGATTGAGAGAGAGAGAGAGAGAGAGAGAGAGAGAGAGAGAGGCAGTGAAAGAATTTAAGCAAACAGACTTTATACTTGTGACTTTTACATAAAATGTATAATACCTTGCAAATGCAGCTCAGTAAGGGGTCTATATCTTACACTTTATTCTGTTTCTGATTTTTCTTATAACTTGTCTTTTCTGTACATAGTACTGTCTACATTAGAGTGCTTACACAGGACAAACTGTATCAAAAATATAAATGCAGTGGGAGGAGATCTGATGCTTGGACAAGATTAGAAAAGCAATGCATTCGGTTAACTAAAAATCCCGTGAACATAGACATAACGCCATGAATGACGTTACTATGATGTATTTATTAATTTGGTCTAAGAGATCGGATTTAATAATTGCTTAATTGATCTTACATAGCCACCCTAAACTGATCTGTGTGGGTTTCTTATTCAGTCTTGCCCTTCACTTTACCTACAGTGGTGAACTGTGTCTTTAAGAGCCTCCAGAGTTGACACATGAATAACTTCCAATCCACCGAGCAGCTTCAGCTCCTGATGCTCGCAGTGCTGACCCACCTGACCACAGTGGATGACTTTACCAGGACAGCACTCCTCTGTTGCATAACTTTGGACAGGTATTGCTGCTCAGTGGGGTTCAGTTATAGCGCACTTGTGTTGGGTCCTTCGTGATGACAGTCTGGAGGAGCAGCTCTGTCACTTTGGTTTGTCTCGGAGTGTCTTTATTCCTCGTGGGTCCGTGTCAGTCGGGCTGTCGGGAAACGGGTCTGTGTTGCACCGGCAGGGACCCGTCATGCATCAGCAAAGGATGGAGGTCTGACCGGTCCTATGGCACCTGCTACTGCGACCAAGCCTGTGTGTCCACCCTGGACTGCTGCCACGACTATGAGACAGTCTGCCCAGGTGGGTGTGTGTTGATAGGAAAACTTTTGTTTATCACATATTAAACTTTATGTACTTCTTTGCAGAGTGATGATATGAGTGAAGTTTGTTTAACACCAGTTGTGAAAGAGATATTCAGATATTTTACCTAGGTCTAAGTAAAGTTAAAAATACCCCTGCATTGAAAACGTTACTTAAAGGACCAGTGTGTAGTTAAGATTTAGTGGCATCTAGTGGTGTAGTTGGAGATTGCAACTCCCTTGCTTCACCCACTTCCCAGCCAGCGCAAAGCAAAGGTGGTTGCAAAAAACATGAATGGCCACATTTGGATCCAGGGTTTTTCCATTCTGGGCTCCATGTGAAGATACCTGCAGCGTCGGTAGATAAAAAATGTCGCATTCTAAGGGAACAAAAAAACTATTCCTATATTCAGGTGATTATACACTAATGAAAACATACCTATGAAATATTATATCCCATTTCTGCTAATAGATCTTCCTAAATGTTACACACTGGACTTTTAACAACAAATAGTAGCTTACTAAAGTAACAAAAGTACTGATTTGCTAGGCCCTAGAAAGACCCCTGTCATTGTGAAGCTACTGTGTCATATAGGCTACTATATTATTATTATTACTGTACATTACACTTATTACTGCATATTACTATTATTATGTAATGTTACTATTATTACATTACTATTATGCTTATTTTAAAGGACCAGTGTGTAGGATTTAGTGGCATCTAGCCGTGAAGTTGCAGGTCACAACAAACTGAACACCACTCACATCTGTAGCCTATTTGACGACCTGGGAATGAGAACGGGCTGTGATGTGTGTAGGAGAAACTATGGTGGCCGTGAAAGTCGCAAAAAATGCGAAATACCCTAAATATAGCCAGTGGACTGCTGTAGAAGTATGGCGGTTCAACATGCCAGCCTCCATGGCAACCAGTCATGGCGTTGGTAAATAAAAACAACATTCTAAGGTAACAAAAATACAACCATTCTTATATTCAGGTTATTATACACTAATGATAGCATATGCAGTATCATACATCCAGTGTCCTGATTTGTGTGATATTCGGATTTCCTGAAATTAATGTGACAACTATTCAGGGGTTTCTTTGATGTGAGCTTAATTTTTTTTGTCAGTTGTGTGTGCTCTGTCTCTTTCCCCTCAGCGGTGTCCTGTGTGGTGAGTGAGTGGACAGAGTGGTCAGGCTGTGCCGAGCCCTGCAGGGCCACGGTCCGCAGGCGGAGCAGGACTATCCTGCAGGAGCCGCTCAATGCAGGAAAACCCTGTCCCCATCTGGAGGAGCACGCCGGCTGTGCAGAGTATTGGACTCAGCAAGGGCACTGTCACAACTCACTTGGTGAGTAAACAAGCCTTTAGTCTACAACAGTGCATCATATTTAATGCGCTGGCCATATGTCTTGTATGTAAAATCTTAGTAACTAATAACTAAAGCAGTCCTATAAATGTAGTGAAGTAAAAAGTACAATATTTACCTGTTGTGGAGTAGAAGTACGATATAGCATAAATTGTACTTAAGTAAAGTTCTTGAGAAAATTTACTTTATTACTGCCTTATTGACATTTGAGATATGTCAGCAGTGTTAGATAGTAGAATTAGTGTAGATTTAGTGAAAATAAAATCTGTGATAATCCTGTATCTGCAGGCTTGAATAATTTAATTAATATGGGTCATAAAAAATAAAAATTCTTATGTTACTTTGTTGTTATATGCATAAGGATTAAATATTTTGTTGTACTGAATACTGCAATGCTGGACTGTATGTTTCATGGTAAAAAGAGTGATGGAGATACTGTTGCATGGCCTTTAGACATACTGTAGTGGTACATGCAGTGTGGTTGATGACATTGCCCCTAGATATCTGATGATGCTGTTTCTCTGAGCTTGCCAGGCTGTCATTTTATCTTTCTTTCTTTTTTGTGTAGTGCATCTACAGAGAATCCTACATTCATGAACATTTCAACCACATGCCCATTTTAGATGTTTGAGGCCTCGTTTTTTTGCAACATACTTTATGTTCACATGTAATGTTCGTATCATGGATGCCTTCTCTGCAGTACCAGCGCTTATTATCACGGGTGGCTATGGCAACGCTAGGAAGAAAAGAGACATCCCTGACAGCAACAACATTACAGGGTAATACATTCACAGAGTCCAGAAAAATGTGAAATTACACTATATCTCCTCATGTATCCTTGTTATGTATTTAGTCTGAGTTTGGTTTCTGTGTGTGTGTGTGTGTGTGTGTGTGTGTGTGTGTGTGTGTGTGTGTGTGTGTGTGTGAATGTGTGAGCCGTGTGTGTGTGTGTGTGTGTGTGTGTGTGTGTGTGTGTGTGTGTGTGTTTGTGTAAAATAGGTATTGTGTCCAGTTTCAGTTGACCTCTCTGACAAAAGGATGCCAGCTGAGCGCGAGCCCACACACGCAGTGGATGCAGTACCTGACGGAGGGGCACCGTGTGTGTGTCGAGTGCCAGCCACCTGCTCTTACTGCTGGACAGACACACTGTGCAGGAGACGGAGAGGAAAATGATGTGGGAAGGTGAGAATGGAGAATATTGTCACATCACTGCTTGCCCTTTTATTACCATGATGAAAATAAATAAAAAGTTATGTGTATGTTATGTTAACATTCTTTGAATTAAGAAAGCTACACAAATGTAAGCTTGTGTTGTTCAGGAAATGTTAATGACCATAAGAAATAGATAAGGTATTTGTTTTTTTTAAAGCCTAGCCCAGGGTTTATTCATCCATGCAATTGGCTTGAAGTTAATTTTGGTCATATGTAAAGAAGCTCAGTGTTGAACATAACTTCACTACACTAATAAAGGTGACCTTTCTGCCTCACCATATGGCAGACTTTTCTGTAATCACCAGATAAAAATTATATTTGAGTAAAATATAAAGTAATTACAGCTGTTATTACTCAAAAACACACCACTTGTTCTTCGTTATTAATAATAGGTTATCATTTTTTGCACAGGAAAGTTTGTTACAATATATCACAGATTGGTTTAATTGCTCTTAATATTGCTTGTTTACTAATGTATTCTGGCCATAAACAGCTACTGAATCCTACACGCTTGTCAACTCACTTGGACCATTAAATTCCCTTTTCTGGTTCATGGAACAACAGTTAAACATTATAGCAGCACAGATTTACTGTATGAGGGGAAGAATGAGTCAACAATGGTGTGAAAGGACAATGAAGTGGTAACCTACTCACCTGCCAAGGAATAACCCAGTTTAGAAGACATTTGAGGAAATACAATTACTTGCATTCTTGCTTAAATTAGATGAGCAAATCCATACCAGTCCCATGTTTGAACTGTATATGTAGCTGGAGCCTTAAGCTACATATGTTGCAGATTTTGTCACAGAGCCAGGCTATCTGTTTTCCTGTTTCTTTGTTAAGTTAAGGCTAATGGTAGCTTCATATGTAGCCCACTTACCATAAAATGCAAGCTTAAAGGACAACACTAAAATTGTAATTTTCTGTAATTGCATTGTTAAGAAACAAATTATTACACCTTATTATTATTATTTTTTAAAACCCTATGCAACTTGCCATGTAGTTTTTGAGAGAAGTCAATTTGCAGCCCTCAATTAAAGGTGGGGTCAGTCTTTCATTCATTGTGGAGTTTTCTTGTGAATAATAATAATAATAATAAACAAAAGTTCTGTTTACATTCACATTGTGTGTATCCTTGAGGTCTAAGAAACGAGATTAATGCATTTCCATCCTCTTAAAACACTTGCAAAGCTGTGTTTGAAACTTGAATTGTTTACTTGCAATCAGTCTTCTTTTAAGCCTTTGTTGGCGCATTGCTGAATATCTTGATTAGTTGAATAGTGTGTCAGCATTGGTAGGAATGTATATTGCATCACCGGAGTGCATGTGTGCTGCATTTACATCAATACAAATAATACAGGGACCCAGTCATAGAAAAAATGCTTCATAGTGCTACTAGAGGTCAAAAACTCTAGAGAACCTTTTAATCACAAAACACATTCATCCTAACCCTAGTCACCCTAACCATATCCATAGGGGTATGTTTTTGAGTGGGCTTGTATTTAAATAAAATTAAAGTATATCTGCAAATTATTATGTGCTTACCATTGAAGTTATCAAATATTGTTCAACACTGTTCTACCTAAATTTCAGACACAATACCTGTGTCTGTATTTTGAGAGGCGCAGTGGTGGATCCAAATTGATTACCAATATGTGAATCAGTTGTGATCAGTTGTCACAGGATTTGTTTTTGTTTCTTTTTCATCCCATAGCACTGGGATACACACCCTCTCAGATCTGACTGGTAACAGTGAGGGCTACCACTAGATGGCAACATTGTTTTTTATATTGGATTTAAAGAGAAATCTTAAACTCATTCTTCCGTCCCTCCTTCCTGCAGAAGTCAGTCTCTCCAGTGGCAGGCGGTGGGAAACCCTCGATGCAGGGGTGTGTGGAGGCGTGTGGGGAGGCTGGAGGCCTGCTCCTGCCCAACAGCCCACAGCTTCCTCTTCATCTAACATCTTCCTTCCTTCTGTTAGCCTCTCTCCTGTACATATTTACTCAGACACGTACATAAATAACAATCTGCCAGTATAATTACCAGCAGTTAAAGAGTGCTGGCCAATGCTTAGTTATAAAGACCAAATTTAATCTTCTCCAGATTAGTGCATCTACATGTAAACATTTTATTAATAAGGTTGAATGTGGGCCAGTGAAAATTCCTATTTCTTAGTCAGAATATAATTACTGTCCTTACTGCACAACACAAACTTTAATCATACATCATTGCTATTTTGGGTTGAATCAAAAACTGAAAATTAACAATAAAGTAGTCAAATGAAAGTCAGCAATTCCTAATCAAAATGTAAAGTGATCTGATTTATTTCATTTTGAGTCATCCAAGGGAAAGGTTGCTTTTCTTAAGAAATAGAAATATCTTGAGACATTGAGACACTTTTTTCTTACATGACAAGTACTGGCTCTGTGTGAATCACAACCAGTCACAACGCCAAAGTTACAACATGCACTGAACAATAGAACATTTATACAGAAACAACAGCATAGAAAGTCAACAGGTAAAAATTTGTATTATTTTTTTTTTTTACAAAACAGACAGCCTCGGGACCTACAAACAACATTGTATAAGAGCTGGCTAAGGTCGTTCAAATATCTTTTTTTTTTTCAATTCCCTGGAAACAGTGTACTTTACAAAGACTGATGGCTTAGGCAAGGTTGGGGTCAATTCCACTGAGAGCTTACGGCGTAGAAAAAATATAGTTTATGTTTTGAATTTGTACTAGTTTTTAATTTCTCATGCTCTAATACTGGTTCCTTTTATAGTGCCATGTGTGATGTGTGTTTTACTCTATCAAGGCATCCTGAATCGACCCCAACCCTGTAATACAGTGTTAGATTCAGAGTATGTGGAATTGGGCTACTTGCTGAAGCAGTGCTTCTCACTGGGTTTTGGAAACTACCACATGTCCTTGAAAAGGGTCCTATGGGGTTTTAACAAAAATGAAAAAGACTTTAACCTCTTTACAGATAAATTTAGCAGCTGGCGCAACAACCAAATTCTATTTTAAGTTTTAACTAAATGCATTTCTGTACAGTGGGGAGTCTTGTGGAAAAGTTTGAGAAAACTGTGCTCTTCATCTGAATTTGTATCAATAAATGAGAAATAAAACAAGTCACTTGAGTGTGTTTTCTTCATAAAGCACGATAGTTTAGTCCTTTGATTCACATCAGAATTTCTCCACAGGGATCTCAGTGAAATGAAAAGCTCTTTTATACTATTAGATTTCATTAATTTGAGGGCTCCCTTGGAGATGGAGGGGAGTAAAGTATCCAAATAAAATAAAACAAAAATGACTTGTAAAGATAAATGAAGATTTTTTTGTGTTATTGTGGTATCATGTCACAGTATTACAGTCTAGGTAAAATCACAACACCATGCTTGATGTTTTTTTGCACTACCTTTTCTAAAAGCTTAAGATTATCATTACTGGATTTCAATACTTGTGTTTATGTGTGTGTATACACATGGGTAATTGTGTGATATTTTCCCATAATAAATCTCAGTTCTCTACAGTGCTTGCTGCCTGTTCGTGGAATATTGATTGTCATCATTGTTGAGAAATATTTCAATGAAAAATGGTCCCTGACTACCATAATATAGAAAACCTAAATGATGGGACAGAGGCTCACATGATGCTTCATGAGAGGTTGTGTGAGCTGAATGCCCTTTGTCTTGAAGAATTTAAACTTAATGATCCAATTTTTTAATTATGTAATACACTCAGAAGGACATGTCACTATTTAAGAAAACATTTTGAAATCTCCATGGACATCTAGGTATAACAGGGTAAAAATAGTTGAAATGTTTGGCATACATTGGCCTTGACTTTAAATGAGATAAAGATGTAATGAAAAGTTAACATCCAACTTGAACCAAATGTTTCTCTTGTTAATACTGATGTCATCTAAACAAGAGAAAAGAAGCGGATTGACCAAGCTTGCAAGTTCATCATGTTTTCATTGTATAATTTAATCTGTGCCACTTCGACCTCATAATGTGTTAGAGAGAATTATACATGTTTATTGGGAAAATAATTGATGTATAACTATAACCAAAGGAGCAGTCATTTAAAAATAATTAATTCTGAATATCATCAGAGGCTATCTGAAGAATGTTAAATATCTGCAGCCAAATGTTTTTTATCATTTTAAAAATAAAATCATTTAATTTGGGAACATCTCTTTGCAGATGATATCTAAGTTTATATTTTTAAACCCTTTTGCATGATCATATTTATTTTTTGTGAACTTTACTAATATTAGCAGATACTTTATGTGCAACAACGGACAATGATTAGAAATTTCATAAATACAGAAAAGGGAATGTTGTGATACAAAGTGAATTTGAGCTGACACTATGACGCTGCATAAAATTAATTAGTCATCAGCTCAAACCATCCATCTTTGCCAAATTATATGATGCGTGCTAAATGAGATTCATAAAATGCTCCTCCCATCCCTCTCTTGACAGTTGTAAATGAAGCTGCACTTCAAATATTAAATGTGCTAAAGTGATCATAATTTCGTATACCATTGTAGATCCGTTGGTATTACAATCTGTGTTACATCTGCATGTGGAATCAGAACTGCAGATAAAATATGGAGAAAACAAAAGCAGGATTTCCCCGACATGCATACATTCATATCGGAAACAGTTCATTTTGTTCCATTAAGCAGCAGCCCCACTGCTCTAATGCCCTGGCTTTACAGTCACACACACACTTATACACACATGCATGGTTCCCTCTGCCTCTCACAGTCATTGCTATTCCTTTCACACCTCTGCTTCTCTCACTATGGGAGAGCAATATGAAATGGTTCAACTCTGTGATTAAAACAGGAAATGAAATCAGGGTTTGTGATTAGACTTAACCACAACACTAAAAATATTATGTAGATCACCTTCTGCTGACTTTTGAATCAAATTTTACTCAACGCCTACATTCATAATGACCTCTTTTATGTGCATCTTATACCAATATTTTACAGTTTGGTTCACATTCTTTTAGAATTTGTTTGGTTTGGAGTGAGGTTCTTCTTCACTCATCTCATTAACATTGGAGAAAGTTGTGATCACATAACTGCTTACATTACAAAAATATTTTATCTTCACATTTTAATTTAGATGCCATGGGGTTGAGGAAGGAATGGTGAACAGTAGGTTTTTAAGTTTTTGTATTAACTCTGGTCATGTTGGGTTGTCTATATGGGTGTATTACTTACTTACTGTAGATATTCAGCACTTGTGTCCCTCTATAATCTGTGTGAAGTGTGTGGTCATTCTTGTAATATGTCGTTTTAACAGTTACAATTAAGTGTAAGATTTCTGTGATATGTGGCATTATAAACAGATAATAGAGAATGCATTGTGGGGAATTGTAGTATTTATGGGATGCTACAGAGATTTTAGACATAAACATAACAATGTACAAGGTCCTTACATCATAATGTTGCTTTTACACACTACTCATAAATATGCACAGTGAGGAGTGGATCTGCTAGCATGTGACTACTGTGCATACCTGTCACTTTATGGGTACATGCCTGTGTTGTGTGTGTGTGTGTGTGTGTGTGTGTGTGTCTGTGTGTCTGTATGTGTGTTTTTGCATAAGTGTTAAACATACGTTACATGCAACCAGACCTTACCGCCCCAATTAACAAACCATTGCAGAGCTGTTGCCAGCCTTTGAGGCGGCTGCTGTCACCATGGAAACTAAGTGTACCTATCCTAAGATTGTCTTCCATACCTGCATGTATCCTTAGTAGGAGTGTGTGTGCTCATGCATGGGTTTTATCATGTTGAGCATTAACAACTGACTTATACTAAAGTTAATCTGCCTGTGTATATTCAGTACTATTACAGTTTATGTTAACAATTTAAGGAACAAAATAGAGATGAAAAACTCTCCATCTTTCTGTGTCAAATACATGCATATTCCATCAACTGAATGTGTGATCTCTTTGGCTGCTTTCATGTTGGTCAAAGGAAGGCCAATGCATGCTGAACATCTGTTAATGAAATCTAAACTTTGTCAGTAATCATATGCTGTAAACATAAAAAGAAAACTATATTAGAGGATTTTCATATATTTATTTCTAAAAGCGTATCATGTTTTTATACGTTGACTGGTTGGGCACATGCATGCTTCATAAATGTGCGCTTTATGCAGCAAGCTTATTATTTCTGGCTGTTATGTTAGCCCATATAAAAAAAAATCTTGGTCCACTACCATCCTTTAAAAATGATACTGAGGTGCTAAGACATTATTTACTGGTCAAGATCTGAAAGTGTCATCCATTCTCACCATGATATGATAACATAGCAGTTGGCAAAATACTGTTCAATAAAGAGCGCTCATTATAATGGACGGTGGACTAGAGCTTCCGATAACTGTAGCCTCTGTGCCAAGACATTGAACCTCATACAGGATTACTCTTCACATATGATTATGACACAGCAGACTAGCAAACCACATATTTCTATAAGGAACTTTCTCTTATCTATATAAAAATAAATCAGGTAAGACAATCTCAAGAGTGTGTATACATGAATTACCATCAGATCACCCATCCACATTCACACTCACTCACACACATGCTCACACACTTATATGCAGCCATGCGCACCCCTAGAAATGGAGATGACTAAGGCCAGTTTTGGGAATGGAGGGCACAAGTAAGTAGCTTATAGGCTTCTAGGTCCTCTCCTGTATCTCCAAGACTACAAAATGAACTGGGACTCAGTAATGGGATAGTGGGCAGCTGGGATTTTTTCCCTGGAGAATATAGAGATGACCCCCGGCAACGAAACCATCATTCAGTTGGGTTACACCAGTTATAACCACTCTCTCAGCTTCTCTGCTTCCACAGGGGTCTCTGAGCAGACCAGTTGGCTACCTGGGAGTGCTCTTTTGTTTTGTGGGTGTGTAATACCGGTAATAGGAATGAGTTGAAGGAGGGGCAGTGACATTCTCCAATTTAGAAGTGTTTTTCTCCCAGAGTATTCACCACACATGTTCACCCTGAGCTTAACGCCCATTGGCATGCTCAGGTACTTTGTAATTTAAAATGTTTCTGTGAGACCCTTTGTCTCTCCCTCATCCTTTGTCTCTGGCGTATAGCATGTTTTTAGTCTGTCTGGTGTCTCCATCACAAACACTCGGGCCAAAGCTTTCTGTTTATTTCTGTTCCACTTGTACCTCAGAGGTTTTTATCCGAAGTATTTTGACGCCCCCTCTCAACCTTTGGTCTACGTGTCATGTCAGGTCCTATGTGATTCTCATGAGCTACCCCACGAATCCCTTCAATGGGGAACAGACAGTTCTGGCCCAGCATTTTTTGGGCTGCTTCTAAGTGATTGGTGCCTTTCTGGTAATTGATGTTGATGCTGCGTTTTGGGCTTGAACCAGCCAAAAGACGCTCTGAGGGACTGGTGTCAGAGACGTCGCGGAGGTGCTCATCATCGTCTGTATCAGCGTCAATGTATTTGCTGATGGAGGAGTCGTGGAAGGTGAAGACAGTTGGGGCCAGGGTAGTGCTGTCTGGGGACTTTGGTGGGGTTCTGCTGCTGGCAGTGGTGTACACAGAAACTTCAGGGCTTAACAGAGAGTGGTCTGACAGGACTGAGCTGTCTGAGAGCGGGGAAGGGCCTGACTCCCCATCACTACGACAGCCTCCTTTCGGGATAAGGTTTTTTGAGGTGTTGCCAGAAAAGAAGAATTTCCGTGCATTCTCTGAATATGAGGGCTTTGTGACAGACATGGGAGTCAGCATGGGCTCACGCTCCGCAGTGGCCTGCTGGCCTTTTGCGCTGCTGTGCTGGGACAAGGCTGTAGCCAGATTGTGGGAGAACCGGTTACTTTCCTGAAGACCAAGGTCCATTGCTGGACTATGGGGGAAGCGTGGATTCTCCTGGAAGTCTGTAGCACAACTGATGTAGCTGTCAATGCTGGACAAGCTTTTCATATCCCCCACGCCTTCTCTGGTTCCTAGCACGGGTTGCCCATGATCTTGGATAGCCCCAAGCTCTATCTCATCCCTCTGTTTGCCAACTCTGGAGCCCCTGTCTTTAGCATTGAGGTTTGGCTGGGATTGTGTCTTGGCCATCTGGTTGTACATCTCCTCTAGCTTCTGAACATTTAGCCTCTGGGGACTGGTGGCCCGGGCCTTGTTGGGAGAGCCTAACTCCTGGGCATTGAAGGAACGGTTTGAGCTTGTCTCTGATGCCGCCCTCTTTGGGGTCCATTTCCAACGGCTTGGAGAGAGGTGGTTGTCATGAGGCCTCTCACTCTTCTCCACCACCACATCCATCAGTTCTGCACTACGAGCAAACGCCTCTTTCAAGTTCATGGAGACAATGCTACCATTTCTCTTTGCCCTCTCTAGGGCTTCCCTTCGTTTAAGTGCCTTTTCCTGTCTCTTCTGCTCCTTGTAGAATTCAGAGAAGTTATTTACAATAATGGGAATAGGTAGGGCAATCACCAGTACTCCAGCTATGCAGCACAAACCCCCCACTATCTTCCCCAGTAGAGTTTTTGGGTAGATATCCCCATAGCCTACTGTGGTCATAGTAATAGTAGCCCACCAGAAAGAAGCTGGAATGCTTTTAAACTTTGTATCCTCCTCATCCTTCTCAGCAAAGAACACCAGACTGGAGAAGATCATGATGCCCATGGCCAGGAAAAGGATGAGCAGGCCCAGCTCATTGTAACTCCTTCTAAGAGTGAAACCCAGAGACTGAAGACCTGTGGAGTGACGCGCCAGCTTTAGAATACGCAGGATACGCATGATCCGAAATATCTGAACTACGCGACGGACATTCTGAAATTGTAGTACACTTTTGTTGGATTCTGTCAGGAAGATGGTGACGTAGTAGGGCAAGATGGCCAACAGGTCAATGACGTTCAGAGGACCCTTAAAGAACTTCCACTTGTTGGGTGAGGAGAGGAAGCGAAGCAGGTACTCCATGGTAAACCAGGCAATACATACAGCTTCCACATGGGCCAGTTGTGGGTTGTCTGAAGACTGGCCAAACTCATCTGTGTCCTGCAGCTCTGGAAGGGTGTTCAGAGACAAGGCAATGGTGGATAGCACGATGAAGAGGATGGAGATGATGGCAAGGATCTGAAAGACAAATGTATAAAAGTAATATGAGTAAGGATTGCAGGATCAGGGAATTACATATCAGTTAAACTCAGATATCAGATATGTATTTAAGATTAAAATTCCAGTGTATTTACGGTCAAAAAAAGTGTTTTGCTTCAAGTATGAAAGTGCTAACTGTGACTGAATAATAATAACCTTAACCTTAGAGAATAAAAAACCTTCAATAAATGCCTGACTAAGTGTGTGATTTGCTGAGAGCTAATGGATTGGATTGACTTGGTCCAGTTATTTATTCATGACTCACTTATCAGGATTATCCACATGAGTGACTTTGCTTGACTTGAAAATAATGTTTAGCAACCAATAAACAAAAGCAAAAGCATCATAGAATACAGTATGTGTGACTGCTAAAAAATCTTCTTTAAAGTTTTCAATTGTTGGATACTTTTCAAAAATCAGATTTAAAAGTTATATATGTTTTTTTTTTTAATGTAATAAATTTAATTGAAAAACAGAAAATTGTTAAGACTTTTGGTTTACTCAAAACCACAAATGTGAATCTCATTCTGGCTCTAAAAGAAAACTCAGGGTAACGTCATTAGGATTAAACTTTCGGGGACCACAAGTACCTACACACAATTCCATGCCAATCTATCAAACGGTTGGACCGACTGACAGACTGATATTGCCATCTACATGCAGAACACTTTTTAGATTTACAGTGAGTAAACCAAATTGCATACAAACCTCAGGAATGAGTATGGTCAAATAGAAGCTAGATGTTAAATGAAAACAGGTCATAAACTCTAACCACCGTTCTATGATCACAGAAAGAGTGGAAAGTGCTGACCCTACTCAGTATCCACCAAATCTTTGACATGGTGAATTAAATAGCAAGGTGAAAAGGTTTCAAGGCTCCATCTGAACCATAGAATAAGGGTTATAAAACATTATCCTCATTCTTTTTTCACAGGTTTTGCTCTTTAATGGTCTCTGTATTTATAGAAGAGAGGCCTATCACTGCCTGTCACTTACTCCCCTTGCTGTGGTACCAACCTGACATATAAATGAACATGCAATAGTCACATAGTAGCAGAATCCACTGCACTAGATGATGCCTGAATCACATTACACAGTACAGAGAACTCATCTGGGAAGTCTGTCAGAAAACAGCATCCTGACACACACACACACACACACACACACACACACACACACACACACACACACACACACACTACCCCACTCACACTTCACCAATCATGCTAACAAGTAAGTATGTAGAGGTAGACTACACCTCTTTTAGCACCGTATGACAGCTCCCTTCTCAACCAGTATTCAGAGTGTAAACAAAAAATCCTTGCCTTGGCTTTGAAGTATATTATTCTTGTAGCTTGAGTTTGTTTGATCTAAATAAGTGACTATACTTTAATACCACAGTAAGAAATACCAGAGGATATGTTGCACTGCTATCCAACCTTTTATATCCCATCAACCACATTTACAGTCCAGATAGAAGATACTTATAGCCTTACAGTTTCCAGATTGATTTTATGTTTATTGGGTGTATTTTGCCATTAAGAACTGACTTTTGTGTCCTGTTAAAGTTGCGACTCTTTAAATCCATAAATTCATTGATGCCACATCATACTTAAGGTCAGTTTACCAAAATTACATGAAATAATATTTTATCTTCACCTAGAGTATATAAACATGCAAATATTTTGGTTTTATTTTCCCCAACATGCTGTATCAGCTACTGAAGCATTACGTGAAAAAAGTGAAACACTATAGTTACTCCGCATCATCCATAGACCTGATAAATCCTTCTACTGGGGTAGTTTTTATTTGAACTAGTCTTTAGAAATACTGACTATCTAATTACTATCCAAAAGGAACAAGTGAGAAAGTATCCTTTTTTCTCCTTGATTTAATTTTCCATAATATTATTTGGGTAAATGTTTGGTTCTGTACACACTTGGATATGTATTAAGCTGCCTTTGGGGCTGTGTATAATAAATATGCAAATTCTAAATGTATGCAGTTTTCTTTTTAAGTGTTTATTTCATTACTCATATAAAAATAACCATGTCAGACTAACATTGGCTATCCCTGTGTGCGGGCCATTCATAGTAGTTTAATAAAGAGTTTCCAAAATCAGCTTTCCTCAAATGTGGGGATGAAGGGCACAAATTCAACAGCACTCTCTTGATCTTAGTGCTGAGGTACAAGAGTAGGGCTCCTACCTGACCTGAGTGATGATGATTCACAGAAGAAGCATAATCCAGCAGTGTAAATTGTGTATATTTATCATAAACTGACAAGTGTTCTGGTATTCTGGTTTACAATAATTGTAATGCTTCTAAACAAGTATTACACAACAAAGCATTACATATTCTGATTACTAAATACACAAATTTTGTGTAACTGTACATCCATAATCCATGATGAATGCACCTTTGCGGGAGGCTTCACAACCAATCATAGAGCTGTTCCTTTAGTGGACCAAGGACAGGATTACTTCATGAACTACAGTCTGCATTTGTTATAATAACTCTGGATGACTCCAAGAAATCCTGACAAGACCAAACAGCACAACTTAGAGGATGAGTAGGAGGATGTAACTGGAACACAGAGCCTGTTTCGGCAATAGCCCACACGAATGAGGTTAGGATGTTATATGACGAAAAACTGCGAAAACTTGATTTTTATTTCTTTAAAGATGAGTGCAGCTTAGACCACAAAGCATATAGTCATAAGACATATACTGACATAGTTTAATATAGATGAGTATGAAATTTCCATCTATTTCAGTGTGATTTAATTAAAATTATAAATATAAAAAGGCCCTCGTCCCTGCTTTTGTTAAGCTTGCTTAAAACCTCATTCATGAACTGGATCTACTGGTCAAACACACAGTCACTTGTGTAAACAAATGAGCACATGATGCAGGGCTTCCCTACATATTGTCCAGTGGAATTAAAGCACAGCAGCAGAAATAGGGCAATAGCAACGGTTGTTAGGAGTTGATTGACAGTGCAAGCCTTGACAACGGCCTAATAATCCACTCCTAAGGGGTAAAAGTGATGGCTAAAGAGGCAACCTTATCTACGACCAATCAGAGCAGGAGGACACTGTTGCCATAGCGTCACGGCAGACATGAATAATGACCGTATCTGTTTATTTTCTTCCCTCTGTGCTCCTCTTCTCCTGCCCTGGAGAAAATCTATTTGAATCAAACACTTGAAGAGCATAGAGGTGCTGGGACTGGAGAGTGAAGGTGGAACTGACGAGTGCAGCACAAAACTGAAGGGACAGAGAGGGTGCAGTGGTGTCTGTAATGGAAAATAATGACGTTGTTAAAGAGGAAATTATTTGTACAAAATAAATAACATATTGCTTGTCTGAGGTTATATTTGTAACAACCTCTTAAAGTTCACTCATTGAGTACCATACCCAATTATAATGAGTTAGAAAAGGGATGGACACATACTGCTAACAAATCTGAAAACTTGAAGCCACAGGAGATTGTGACTACAGAAGAGCAGGACAAAAAAGGGCAGAGGTAATAGGATTGAGAAGCTATAAAAAGGTTGCTAATGAAGGTGCTGTGTAACATTATGGTTATGAGGTCAAGTTCCACTAGGAAACCCTGTACATTTCCCACTGGCCTATGTCCCTGTTGCCTCTGCCTCTTCACACTGTGCACTCTAACACTGCCTTGCTTGTCTTTATCGCTTTCTATCCTCGGTTGTTTAATGTCACGGAACGCTAATTTCATCAAGTTATTGCACTGTAAATCTGAGATAAACCCTTCAGTGCATATAAAGGAGACCGCAAACAAACACATGTCTAGGAAAAGGTTGAATGGAGCTCCAGACATGATTGTAATGGCATCAACACAATTACAGACTATTTATAGACTCTCAGTGGACCCAGATGCAAATAAGATGGTAACGCTGGCTACATCCCAAAGTATGTACATTATGACATGCAAGTTCAGTGATGAATACTCTATTAACAAAACTAGATTATATGGACACAAAAAATTTGAGTGACTCCCAGCAAATGCTCCTTGGTGGCCTACTAAAGGGAAGAAAAGATGAAGGGTGGGAGATATTTATATCTAGAGGAGAAGAAAAGACAACATGTGTGCAAGAGATGGAGGAGAGAGAGAGAGAGAGAGAGAGAGAGAGAGAGAGAGCAGATTGACAGGAAATCCCACTGTGACTCTAAACAAAGCCAGATCACACTTGTTCGTGTCTTTCATGGCACATTGTCATGTGGCTCAGCAGACACAATGGTCCGCACAGACCCTCATCTTCTAGGACAAGGTGACACCAGCCCTCATTAGACTGTTTGAAAAAATATCTGGGACACAATTGGTGTGAATGACGCCCTAAAAACCACCCAAACACATACACAGCCATTTGACATTGTCCTCTGAGTTAACAACATATGGGAGATACGCTATTATTATTATATGAAAGAGGGAATTAAGCCTTCAGACATGAAAGTCATTGGCTTGTACACTATACATACACCAACACAATTTCAGCTCTCTAGAGGCGAGGTACGTAGACTTGGGGCTTAGAGAGAAGAAAAACTCATTCATTTACAATTATGCCTGGGCATCTTACTGTAGCTGTACTTGTATAGTTTGCTCTACCACCAGGTCTCATTCAGATACAATGGCCTAGTTTTACGTTGGCTTTGTCCCAGCAGCTGTGATTAATTTTCTTTGTGCTACATTGGTTTTGTCAGGGTCGGGTCCATTCATCTGTCTACCCAGCACTTGTCCAACAAGGACAGAACCTTGAACTTTGCACTTTTTTATATAGTCTTTAAAAAAAATGAGAAATATTATAAATCACATGTTAGACATTGAATCGCTAAAAATAAATGTGAGCACAGGAAATTAGTGGTCACTGAGGCCAAAAATAAACTAGAAGAGTAGATGTTTGAGGTGACTGTTATGTTTTGTTGTGTGTTTAGTTATGGCAAACCATTCACTTTAA